GGAAGAACAGTCATTGGATTGGTGACATCTACACATCTTCATCAAGTGCATCAGGCTTCCCCCCACCCCTTAAACTGTGTTTGTATGATAAAGAGGAAGAGGGGATGAATGAAAGACAACAGAAGCAATTCTCCAATAATGCTTCACACAATAAGGATTATAACATTCAGCATAGTAACACTTGTGGATTCCTTTTGGTGGGTCTACTAGACCTCAACTGCAAGATCTAGGCCAGGGGTCTGCAACCTTAATCATTCAAAGAGCCATTTAGACCCGTTTTCCACAGAAAAGAAAACACCGGGAGCCACAAAACCCTTCCCGTGCCTGACTATTTCTTGAGCAGCCACAAAACTAGCATATATAGTTGAATTAAATGTTCTGTTTTCTTCTGAAACTTTTCTTTTCTTGGATTTATCCAGGGTTGGCCTACCAGGAGTTGAAAAGCTCAATAAATCGCGTGCCAGCGGATGTTGCACATTGGCGATTGTGACGCATATTTTGAGTTGGCACGGAGGCGCAGCAGAGTGAAAGAGCCACATGCGGCTCCAGAGCCGCAAGTTGCTGACCCCTGATCTAGACAATCCCTAGAGAGCAACAATGGTGAAAAATGCTGTAACACTATGCTATCATCTAGTGGCTATCTGGAGTTTTGCAGGCCAAAACTTAATAGACCTCCTTTTGATGATGCAGCCTCTTGAAGGAAAAGGAATAGATTAAATCTTAAAACATGGGTGAGTGTTTATGCCTCTTTGGTATAGTTGAAATGTAATTCTCACTATATTTTATATATTCTATTCCTGATCTAGTGGCTAGATTTAGCTCAGTGGCAAAGCAAGTATTTTACATGCAAAAGATTCTCTAAACCAGCAGTCCTCAAAGTGTGATCTGGGGGGACCCCTGGGGGTCTCCAAGAGCCTTTTGGGCATCTGAAAAGTCAAATAAATATGTATTTTAACTCTTCTGAACGTTAAGTTTTAATACAGTGCATATAGATAGATATAACCCACAAAAACCAAGGCTTGGTGTCTTTTTTAAAAAAAAAATAATGTCAAGGGTGTTTGAGAATGTTTGTGAACCACTACTACTGTACAATTGTATAACCACAAAAAACCTTTCAGGAAAGAATGGAGAAAAACTCCTCCAGTCTGAAAATCTAAGTTCTAAGGCAAATTCCTTAAGCATCTTCCCAAAGTGTCTTTCTTCAACTATCTTCACCAATAAGACCCCAAGGTCTTCCCTTCTGCCATTTAGGGGCATCTTTTAGCCTTTGCTTTATTCTTCTGGTCCATCTCCTACAACTTTTTGCCTGGCTTTGAATTTTTCCCGAACTTCTTTCCCTGTTGCATTTTAATGCATCTATTTCTGTCTCTGAGGATTAAAATTGTATGTGTTTCTCTTATATGTTCCCATGGAGTTCTTCCAATCAGAACTAACAGGAAGAAATTGGCTGGCGGAGATGGCAATGGAGAAGGAACGGGCTCTTTTCAAGAGAAGACGAGGTCATATGTGGTTTGCTAGGACAATTGTGACCTAGAAATGGAGTAGGCTGTGGAAATGAAGAAAGAGTGAAGATATCAGGAAGGAAGGAAGGAAGGAAGGAAGGAAGGAAGGAAGGAAGGAAGGAATTGTCCAGTCTTGGCTATGGAATCTAACTATGTGAGTTCTTTTTCTCTCTTTACCATTCTTTTTTTTAAAAGGAAATAGAACTTTTAAGGTAATCTTAACTATGAGCTAAGTCAGGGGTCAGCAACCCGCAGCTCTGGAGCCGCATGTGGCTCTTTCATCCCTCTTTGCTGGTCGACTCTACAATTGATAGGGCTTTTGGTTAGGACAGGTAGAGGAAAAAGGATGCTGCACTAGGAGGAGACTCTATGGTGGGGGAATGGACTTCCAGTCAGCAGAGGAAAAAGGACACCATGCTAGGAGGAGACTCTATGTTGGGGGAACTGGATTTCCAGTCGGCTCCAGAATTGAACGGGGGCTTCCGGTTAGGACCTTTGTAGCTCTTTGAGTGTTTAAGATTGCCGACCCCTGAGCTAAGTCCTCCACACAGCTGTGCTTCTCTTTAGTTCACATAGCAGCTGGAAAAAAGATAGGGCTTCTCTAAATAAGGACGTGCATTGGTGTTTTTACAGGTTTCAATGCCTCTCAATTACATTGGAAGCATGCACAGCCCTCACTCAGACTCTCAGAAAAAATCCTGATAAAGCTGCACTGTTCGGTTACTTGTGTTCTATATTATACATTTTGATGCCTTTGAGTCAGGCTTCACTCCTGGAGACTGACTGAACTAGTCCCTCCAGTTTTCCTGGCAAGATTTCAGAAGTAGTTTACTCTTGCCTGCTACTTAGAGATGAGGGAGAGAGAGTAGCTGGCCCAAAGTCACCCAGCTGCATCTAAGACAGGACTAGAACTTACCGTCTTTCTTACTACCCCCAATGCCTTAACTACTACACCAGATTGGCTGTCAAAGTTGTGCTCTAGCTGCTCATCAATTGAAATAGGAAGCTAGCAAATTTGGTTTGGGTAGGACGTAGGAGCTAAGTTTGGAAGGAACTCTAGGAAGAAATACTCTTTCCAAAATGCATCCCAAAATCTCTCACTTTTCAGACACCCATCAAAAATTAACAGCTGTGCACCATGAGCCCAGTTTCTAATTGTAAGGTGGGATAAGCAATAGGGATCTTTGTGGGAGAACGGCCCTTTCTGCCCCTCCTTCCTTACTACTCCTCTTTCTATTCTGCAATTCTTGTGTGCTTCAATACCTTACACAAGCACAACCCTTTGCTGTGCAACACACAAGCTTTCCATTTCAAAAGAGGACGGCAAAGAACAAGAGGATGGAACAAACAGGCTGAGAGGGACTTCTCTAAGCTCCTTATCGATAAGGTTAATAAGGGTCTGTGCAATTTACCAATTGCCAAAACATTACAACTGAGCTTGGGCTATAAAGGAAGCACATGGGCCTTGGACTTTATTGCTTTTTATACTCTGCTACACTAATGTCTCTTTTTAACCTCTTTTTCCTCCCAAAGACTAAGCGCTGTTTCATGTGAATGGCCTCAATAAAAATCCTCCATTTTCTATTGCACTTCTACCTGCCCTAGTTAAGCAGATTAATGGTTCTTTCTTTGGATTTGATCCATCAATCCCTCTGAAAGTATAGCAGTAAGATTTAGATCCCTCTCCCCCCACCCCAGCCCCAGCCCTGGAGCGTGGGGGGGGGGTGGAGGGATAATTTTGATATCCTCAAACGTAAGCATGATCTGGAGTGGCAGAGAAATATTCCCAAACTTCTCTCTTCTTTAAATCCAAGTCATATCAAAAAGGTGACAAGAGGGGGGAAAAGTAATTAGTGAGTTCACAGAGTTCAGTAGGAAAGTTAAAATAGAGTAACACATTACTTTTTATGTGAAGATTTCACAAGACAAATCTTGCCTGTGTTTTAATTGCATGTGACCCTGGCAGTCCCACTCTGAAATGAAGTGCCGTAAAATTAAAGATGACAGACGCTCACAACAAGTCTTGTGATCTTGATTAAACTACAAAGACCACACTTTCTCTCTGCTGCAACTCAGATACGATGGGCTGTTTTATTTGGGGAATTGCTTCATTAATGCTTTCTTTGACTAGACATGTTTATTATAAAAAAAAAAAGAAAGAAAGGGGGAAAAAAAACATGAATATGATATCCTGAATAGCTAAACGAAGTCCAAACAGCACATTAAAATCAGGAGCTTAAAAGAAAAAAAACATCAAGACTTGAATGTTTCTTTTAAAAAGGCTCATGATCTTTTTATATATAACATAGCCATATATAATATATATGATATGTATATTATGTGGCTTAAAGAATCTACAATTCTTATGCCATTTATATTTTGGTGAGAATACAACAAGATCCATGTTGGAAATGGAATGAAAGGGAAAGGAAGATAGAAGATAGAATCTTGATTAAGTCATTTGATCATATCAAATATATAACACTGATACAACACCAGGGGTGGGTTCTACTTACTTTTACTACCGGTTCGCAACAGGAGCATGCACAGAACATCAGTTATGACGTCTGGGCGGGTCGGCAGAGCCTCCCACCACTTTTACTACCAGTTCTAAAGAACTAGACAGAATTGGGAGCAACCCACCACTGTACAACACATAGCTATAAAGAAAACAATAGGACACATTCATAGTAAGTAAAAGAAGTTCTCTTCCATATGAAAAAGTGCCAGCTGGATCTATAAATAAAAAGGAATTTAACTTGTTCATTTCAGAGTGGGACTGACAGGGTTCCTTTTTTTTTTTTTTAATAAATAGCTTTATTTGGCATAGTTTGAAATTCAAGCACTGCTACTACTACCAATAATGATATATCAAAATTAAGTTGTTAAGACACAAACTCAGGTTTGTGCAAAATAATTGGCAATCCTATTTGCACAGCTGCAACTTTTGCACTGTTTAATGGATGGAATGAAATCTGGAAAGTGAAAAATAATGTGCATATTCTCCCATTCAGGAGAATTACATGACTTTGGCTACCTTCTGTATTACCCTCCTAAAGGGTACTAAATGCAGTGAGATTTATTTCTGAATAAACAAACCTCATTTGCATTGTTTGCCTGTCTCCCCTTCCTGCTATCCCTTCCGGTCAATAGGCCTCCAGTGGCCTCTCTCAGAGTTGTCTTCTCTAAATTGGTGGAAGAGCAGGCTGTCACTTAAAGTTTAAAACAACAATAACATTAATATTGAATTAATTAATTCATTCATTAAATAGCCTAGTTCTCCAGGTTGATTCCAGGATCAGCCACTTGAGACCAGATATATTAGTCAGCAGCTGTTATGTGTTGACTCTACTAATGACTTTAAGTTACAGGAAAAGGGATTCTAATTTTTACAGGATATTAAATGACCAATAGTTAACAAGGCTAAATAGTGAAATAATCACTGGCACTCGTTACTAAGACAATGTATTATTGATGCTATTGAAAACATTGCCTCTA